AAGCACTGTTACCTGAATGCCCATTGGTCAAGTCCCACTGCTCAAGTCCATTGCTCACATGCCCATTGGCTGAGCCTCTTGCAATACGTGCCCTTTGGCTGGAAGGGAGGGTCTACCAAGAACCATGTCAATTTCAACAACTTGCTCTCACCCCACTCTGTTCTCCAACTGCTCCAGCACCATCAAAGTGAAGTTGCAGGACCCCAACCGGGTGCAATGTCTGAATTACCATAGAGAACTTTTCCTCCATTTTATAGAAATTGGTATTTTGCTTTAAGGCACTCCGCGCTAATTAACTTCACAAAGAGCAACGAACTAAAAATGTCAGCTGAATGCTTGATCCCAGGTTTAGCGACCCGCCCCCCTCATAAAAAATTAAAATCGTCCCCAGTTTTCTTTTATTTAATATGATAAATTAGATCAATCTGCTACTTCCCAGCTTTTGAACTGTCATTCACGTGAAAAGTTGTCACCGTAAAACATCGACTTCTTCCTGCCACCTCATGTTACTGACATCCTACTTACTATCTTTTGGATGTTTCGGGAAAGGGATGAGATAAAAAGCAGTTTCTGTGGCAGGGGGAATTTTCATTCTCCTTTTTAGTATGTGATAATCAAATAGTTTCGTGAAGTTGTGATCCTGAGGTGGGATGAACAGAAACACCCTTTGGAGGTGCCTCTCCAGAGACCCAGCCCTGAAAAAGCGCCACCTTCGTACTATGTCACAAGCAGCTACGTTTCCCTCCTTCCCACCAAGTGTGAGTCAAGACCCACGACTTCCCAACGGGCAAGGAGAAGAAACCCCAGCATGCTCAGACCTTCCATTTCCAGACACCAAGCTGTCCCATCACTACACAAAGGCTCATTTACCAAGGAGAATGGAAGGTGCCCCCTGCCCTACCATCTCATCATACTTCACAGCCGAGTTCCTGTGCCCATTGAGAGAGAGAGAGAGAAAGAGAGAGATGGCAAAGAAAACCAGCAGTGGCATGAGCACCTCACCCCATGAGTGTGGCATTACAGAAGTCACTTACTACATGGGGTCTTCGTTTCCCCACCCATGAGGGAATGGGCAGGCTTAGACATAGGGCCACAGAGCCCTGAGGTCACTGTCACTGTAACTCCCGTTGTTCATCGATTTTCTCGAGCGGGCCCAGTACCGTCTCCATTGTGAGACTTTGTTGTTACTGTGTTTGGCATATTGAATACGCCGCGGGTACTCTGGGGTTAATGTGAGGGTCCACGCATGAAGCACAGACCGGATCGGTACCACGCCGAATGCCTATACCAACTTCTCCCAAATACACGGAAATGATGTTTCAGAAAGCGCAGCTGAATGCAAAGTGTCCCAGACAGCAAGGAGCTTGGATGTCACGGCGGATTGTTCCATTTCAAAAAGAGTGACAGGAGCACAAACAAGGGTCCGTGAGGCTGGGGAGGAAAGACCCCCCCACACAAGTGCACTGCTGGAGAGTGTGAACTGATGCGTGTGCTTTGGAGAACACTATGCAGAGGCCTCAGGAAGTACAAGACAGCACAGGGGTTCAAGTAGTCACCTCACATGTGGCCAACCCCGGTTTGATCCCTGGTGGCCCCGGAGGACTGTAGGTCTGGCCAAAACACAACACCAACACCCCTGAAGCAGCTAGACGGGACCAGAGAGAGAGAGCTCCATGGGCTGAGCACATGAGTGCGAGAAATCCAAGTTCCATCGGACACCACATAGCTCCCAAACAGAACACCCCCAGGAGCAAACAGCTGGGCCAGGAATAGCCCCCAAGCACTGCTGGGTGTGGGTGAAAATGAATAAACAAACAAAACAGGAGAGGCTAAAGCAGGAAGAGGCACTTGCCTTGCAGGTAGCTGCCTTGGGCTCACTCACCAGCCCTCCACAGGGTCCCCAGGAGGGACCCCTGAGCACAGAGTCAGGAGGGACCCCTGAGCACAGCTGGATGTGGAACCCAAAACAACAACAGCAAAAAAGAGGGTCCCCATGTGTTCAAAAGAACTATGAATCCCCAGTCTGGAATTCTAGGTGACTCCTAGGACTTCTTCACAGAGATTCCTACACACATGAGCTTCCCAGTCACCCTCAGGCCCTTGTCCCCGTCAGGGAAGGCGGGGACTGATACGTGTGCTTTGGAAAACACTGCGCTCAGCAGTGCCAGTGCAGGCAGCCCACTTATTTCCATGAATTTCTTTAAGCCTTGACTCGGAAGCGGGAAAGCTGGCCTTTGAGCTAATTATCACAACATTTCTCTTCCATCCAAGCCCACCCACCCCCCCCCACCTAGTTCCTTATTTCTCAGTTTTGCAAAGCGCCCCCTCCTCCCAACCCCACCTCAGGCAGGAGTGAGGGTCCAGTTAGAGCCGGGACAGTTACTGGATTATGGATCCATCTCCACAGGGCTCATGACAGCAATACTACTAAGTGCCTTTTAAAAACCATTTAATACCTTCTACGACTTTTATGGTACATCAAATTACAAGCCGACTCTCATGAAAGAAGATTGTCTACATCCTAACACAGCTACATGTAAAATGAATAATTGATAAGGAAGGGCAAAGAGCTCTGAAAACCTAGAGAGAACGCATGGATTATAAAAAAAATAATAATAATAATGCAGGCAGACAACCAGCATCCAGAAACTCAGAAAAAAAAAATTTTTTTTAAAGCAACTCTGGGGCTGGAGAGAGAGAGTGCGGCAGGGAGGGCATTTGCCTTGAATGCAGCTGACCCAGATTCGATCTCCGGCATCCCATACGGTCCCCTGAGCACCACCAAGAGTAATCTCTGAACACAGAGCCAGGAGTAAGCCCTGAGCATGGGCACCCCCACACCCAAACAAACAAAATAAGCAGTTCTGGGGCTAGAGAGATAGTACACTGGGTAAGGTGCTTGCTCTGCACGCAGCCGACTGAAGTCTGATTCCCTAACACCCTATATGGTCCCCAAGTCTGCCAGGAGTAAGCCCTGAGCACAGTCAGATGTAGCCCAAACACCAAAACAACAGACAAACAAGCAGAAATAGCATCTGTGACTTGGCCAAATGCCTAGGTGACTTTTCAAAAACTCCTTCTGGAAGGTCAGAGATAGCACCAGAGGTAGGGTACTTGCCCTCCACATCGTCAACCAGAATTCCACCTCCAATACCACATAGGATACACCTGAGCACTTTCAGGAGTGATCCCTGAGCACAGAGCCAGAAAATTTGCCCTGAGCACAGAGCCAGGAATCAGCCGTGAACGCAGAGCCAGGAATGAGCCCCGAGCACAGAGCCAGGAGTCAGCCCTGAGCATAGAGCCAGGAATCAACCCTGAGCACAGAGTCAGGAGTCAACCCTGAGCACTGCCAAGTGTAGTCCCCCAACAAAAGCAGACAAAGGGAACACCATAAAAATTCAATGACAATAAATGACGGGTCCAATTCTTAAACAACAAACCGGGATGGGGCAGTTTCTAATCCGGAGGGGTCTCCTGCGTCCCCCCGCTCCGCACAGCCATCCCACTGCCAAGGAGGTTTTCCATCCTCAGGGGTTACTACTGACTCTGCACTCAGGAATCACTCCAGGCAGCGCCTGGGGGGGACCATATGGTATGCCGAGAATCGAACTCAGGTCAGCCGCGTGCAAGGCAAGTGCCTCCCTGCTGTGCTATCGCTCCGGCCACAGACTTGGAAGCTTTTGTGAGAAAAACCTTGGGGAAAGGCTGGGCAGGCAGAGTGAAGAGGAAGACGGGTTCTCCCCTCCACTCTACACTCCACTTCCTGAAAGACCCTCTACTTCCCATTTGGATGGTCTGAACTGACAGTCTTAACTCACTCGGCTTCCCACACACACGGCTATTCGCAGAGAGAGACACGTAGGCCCCGCCTGCTGAGGCCCTGGCCCGGGCAGAGCCTCAAGGAACGAAGGCCAAGGAAGCTCCCCGACAGCCTCTCCCTCTCTCAGGGGATTCCCATCAGGGCTTCGGGGATGACAAGTTAAGTGCCCTCCCCACCACCACTTCCCACATTCATTGATTTTTGGCTCAGGAACTATAACCCAGCAGTGCTCAGGAGTACTCGTGGCTCAGGGCTGGCGTGTGGCTCTGGGGATAAAACTGGGGCTCCATTGTGCCGAGACAGAGCTGGGCTGGCTGAGCTGTCTCCTGAGCACCCACGTCGTACCTTCAAAGTAAAACCAGGGGCTGGGCATGAGCTCAAAGGGCAGCCGCTAAAGTGAGCATCAAGCTGGGAGCTGCTGATGCCTGTGTGACCCCCGAATCCCGAAACTAAACCAACAGGTGAGTAAAAGAAGCCAGACGGTCAGGTGTAAGGTGTGGGGTTCCACGTGCCTGGCCTGCGGGTTAGACACAGATCCTGAGCTGACTGTGCCCCCTTGGGGGTGCCCAGCAAACGGGGACCTGCAGCTTCTATCCAAGGTCCGACTCCCCCACCCTACGGAAGAGCTAGAACCCAACTTTTTTTTTTTTTTGGTCTTTGGGCCACACCCAGAGGTACTTGGGGACACTGCATGGGGGCCTCCTTCCTGCCATGCACACACTCAGTCTCCTGCATTCCTTTAGCCCAGCAGCCCCAGGAGCGATGGCCCAGCGGAGTGGGGGACACAGGTGAGCCCCCGGGATTTAGAAATTGCCCCATCCAGATTTGTTGTTTAAGAACTGGACCCATCAGTTATTGTTGTTGAATTTCCAGGGTGCTCCCATTGCCTGGTTTTGCTAGGGGCCCACAACTGACAGTGCTCAGGGCTTCCTCCTGGCACTTTTTCTGTCCCTCCCCACCCATGCCAGGATGCCCCATGCCAGCCAAGCCCTGGATCTCACGTCAGCCTCTGACCAGCGCCAGGCTCCCCTCACTGGCTCTCAAATCAAGCGCAGGAGACAAGTCCCAAAGCGGCCATCCTTTGACTTGGCTTTTTCCCCCTCTTCCCAGCCTTGAAAGGCAGACTAAGAAGTTAGCTCTGGATAACAGGCAGAGGGGAAGAGGGGGCGTCTCCTACCATACGGGTACTTGGTGTCCAGTCTGCTGGCCGCGGTCCTCCTCCACGGCAGAAGGTCATCGCTGCAGCCGTTGGGCATGCCGTTGTACCCAATGCCCACGATCTTGTTCTCGGCATTCACGATGCAGGCACCCACCTGTGGGGAAGCAGACGGACGTGGTGACGCCACTTGGGGCAGCCAGTGAAACCAAAAAAATAAAAAAGTCTGGGGTTGTGGAGAGGAAGAAACCCTCATCCACCGTAGGTGGGAATCCTCATCCACTGCAGAGGAGTGTCCGCTCATCCTCTAGGGAAGGCGGTATGGAGATGGGTCCGAAAAGTAGCTGAGGATGAGGCCGAAGTGACAGGACAGCTTGGAGGGTGCTTGTCTCGCCTGCGGCAAACCGAGTTTGATCCCCGGCATCCCCTATGGTCCTCCAAGCTCTGTCAGGAGTAACCCCTGAGCATCACCAGGCATGTCCCAAAAATAAAATAAGCATATACAATTAAAAGTAGCACTGGACCACCATAAGACCCCATGATCCCATTTCTTTTTTTTCTCCATTTATTTATCTATTTTGCTTTATTTTGGTCACACCTGGCGATGCTCAGAGGCAAGATATGTACATATATATTTCAACAATTTTTTTTAATGAACCACCAGGAGATACAGTTACAGACTTACAAACTTGCATGATTACGTTTCGGTCATACAATGTTCAAGTACCCATGCCTCCACCAGTACCCATTCTCTACCACCATTGTTCCCAGTATCCCTCCCACCACCCCCACCCCCTGCCACCCCCAAGGCAGGCAAATTCCCTCTTACTCTCGCTCCCCTTTTGGGTATTATGCGAATCCATTTCTTGACATCTATTCCCTCAAACACAGAAACATTGATTTGAAAGGACAAACGCACATCTATGCTCACAGCAGCACGGAGTTCAATAGCCAAGAGACAGAAACAACCCAGATACAGGAGAATGGAACAAGAAGCTGTGGGTAGATACACAATGGAATACTATGCAGCTCTGAGAAGGAACAGAAGCAGGCCACTGGCAGTGCCAGGGAGAGAAGCAGCAGAGAGTAAGTTGAGTGACGTCATTCGGAAGGAAATTAGATCCAGGAAGTGAGAGATACTCACAAGGAGCAACAAAGGGTCAACAGCCATACAATGGCAACACTGATCCACACCACAGAGTCGCTAAAGGGAGCCGTTCAAAGGGAGGGGCACTGGGGTCCTTGGGAGAGGAAGGGGTACCCAGGAGACAGGCATGCTGGAATTACGTGCATGGGAAACCACTGCTAACAGCAATGTAAACTGCAGACTCTCAAAAAAAAAAAAAAAACAGGGGCCAGAGTGATAGTATAGCGAGGAGGGCTCTTGCCTTGCACACGGCTGACCCAGGCTCGCTCCCGGCATCCCATATGGCCACCCGAGCACTGCCAGAAGTGATTCCTGAGTGCAGAGCCAGGAGTAACCCCTAAGCGTCACTGGGTGTGACCAAAAAAGGAAAAAAAAGAGAGAGCAATAGCTAAACGTCCATTAAACTAGACCCGAAGGGGAAAAATAGAATGGCTGCTACTTGGGGTGTCGGGCACTAAGAGCTTCAAGTCACCTCAGTATATCCTGGGCCAAAGGTCGCACTGCACCCTGGACAGAGGACAAGCGTTAGCAAATTAGGGGCCCAAAGAGGCCGCAGAGGTTAAGGCGTTTGCCTGGAACATGGCTGTGGCTAACCTCGGTTTGATCCCCAACATCATCATACAGAGCGCCTACAGGAGCGACCCCTGAGCACAAAGTTAGGAGTCATCCCGGAGCACAAAGTCAGGAGTCAGCCCAGAGCACAAAGCCAGGAGTCAGCCCAGAGCACCCCTACCCCAACCCCCCACCATCACCACCATTAAATTAAAAACTCAAAAGTCAGTGGACTCATGGTAGTGAATTGTTCACAAGTAGCTAAGCTTGCAAAAATGAACTGATTGCACCACGAATGAAGAAATGAATTTACTGCATCTCAAATGAAGGAATGAATTTACTGCATCACAAATGAAGGAATGATTTACTACACCTCGCATCGTGACGGCTACCTCAAGGTCCCCCACCTCTGTGACTGGTCATGCATTGTGTGAGCACCCGCCATGCCCCTCTCGGAACTCACCTGAGAATTGGGGTCCTTGCTTCTCTGGGCCGACAAGAAGGCCACTGCCATGAAATACTCGGGCCATTCCAGGTAGTCATCACGTTTTTTACAGGAAGTGTCGCTCATTTTGGGCCTAGAGGAAGAAAAATGTCCACGCAGTTGAGAAGGACACACTGGCGGCCGGAGACGTTGGCCCAGGGGTTACAGCTCTTGCCTCACAAGTGGCCAAGCCTCATTCAATCCCAGGTGCCCCATGCCCCCGCACCTAGCACCAAGAGCCACTTATGAGCCAAGAGGGGTGACCCCAGAGCACAGAGCTGGAGCAAGTCCTGAGCACTGCTGTGTGGCCCAATACCAGGCCCCAACAAAGACATTTCACACCACCGTTTCAGAAGTTGGGGAGGTTAGGAACTGCACATCCACACATATTAGACCTATTCCTGGCCCTTCTCAGGCAGCTAGACGCTCCCTATCCCCTCCTGCACAAATTGTTCTCATCCTTCACTGCTGTCCCTTCCAAAAGGGAAGCGATACAGACATACTGATTCTCTCATAAAGACACCTCAGAGACCGCCCAAGGAGGGTCTACACAGCCAGGCCCCCGTCTCAAGGGGACAGGGGGATCCCATCTTAGAGGTACAGAATTTAGGGGGCACATTCCTGATCACCCGGATTCACACCCTCGATGGTGGGGGCCCACTCTGATCTTAACCGCATGCTCAACCCGTTCCCTCTAGTTGCCCCAAACAAGCAGAGGTGAGGGATGCTGTTTCGTTTGGTATTTTTGGTTTGGGGGCCACACTCAGCGGTGCTCAGGGGTCACTCCTGCTTGGGCTTCACGGGACCCTAAGGGGTGTCCCTGATTGAACCAAGTCAGCTGTAGGCAAGGTACTCCCCGCTGTGCTCCAGCCAGAAGTTAAGAGATTCTGAATCCAAACAGGGAAAGGCAGCGGGGGGATTGTTGGGGGCCAGGCGATAGGGACAGGAGGCACCAGGTCTGCGGGGAAGGGAAGAGTCGCCCCAACCTCACACCAAGACTCCAGGTAACTTCATGCTCACGAAAAGGGCCGTGGTGGGCACCTGGACCTCATCACTCACGGGTCTTCTGGTCCAGTGCCCAGCCCATGCGGGCCCTCAGAACCCAGGCGATGCTGGACCAGGCTGGACCACTGCAGCCTTCAGGCAAGGCATGCAAGGTGGCCCGTGGGTGTCAGCTAAGGCCTTTCCCAAGGAGGGAGAAGCGGCTGGGGACCCGGTTGCAGAAACAGGAGGAAGCCAAGGGGCCCGGACAACTCAGCAAAGTGCAAGCCCGATAGGACACCGGGGAGGGCCGACTCGGGTTCGATCCCAGGCACCGCGTAGGGTACGCTGCGCCCCGCCAGGAGTGATCCCTGAACACGGGGCCAGAAATGAGCCCAGAACATCGCCGGGGTGACCCAAAAGCCCAAAAGAAAAAAAAAAAAAAACTCAGATGGACGGGGGGAGAGGCAGGGTGGAGGGCGGGGGAGGGGAATGCAGCTGCCCACCCCCGCCCCGGCCCGGCGCAAACCCACGCCCCTCGCACCCCAACCCCCAATTCCGAGCCGAGGACGGAGCCCCTCCCCCTCCCCACTCCCACCCTGGCGGCGTCTCCACCCGAACCTCCCGGTCCCGCGCAACTCGTCCGCCCGGAAAAGCGCTCAGCCCGGAGCCGAGCCTGCAAGGAGACCCCACGCCGAACCGAACCCGGCAGCGAGCGGGCGCCCCGCGCCGCCACGTGGCTCCGTCCGTCCCCGCCGCGTCCCCGCCCCGCGCTGCAGGCCCGGCCCGGCCCGTCCCCGCCTGCCCCGCGCAGGGAGGAAGTTGGGGAGGAGGCGGAGCCGCGCGCGGGCCGGAAGGTGGATGGGCCGCGGGACGCGCGCTGGGGGCCGGGAGACGCTCGATCGGTTGTGGGACACGCCCTGGGGGCCGGGGGACACGCGCTGGGGGCCGGGGGACGCGCGCTGGGGGACAGGGGACGCGTGCTCGGGTGGGGGATGCGCGCTGGACCCGGGGACGCGCACTGGGCGGGAGGGGATGCGCGCTAGGGCAGGGGACGCGCGCTGGGCGGGGCAGGGGGTGCGCGCTAGGGCGGGGGACGTGCCCTGGGCCCGGGGACGCTCGCCGGGGCGGGGAACCGGCGCTCCGGTCGGGAGTGCGGTGGGAACCGGCGCTTGGGCCTGAGGTCGCGCGCTTTGGGCCCGGGGAACGCGCGCTCCGGGTCGGGGTTCGGGGAGTCGATGGGGAAACCCTCGGTCCGGGGGCGCGCGTCCCTGTCGGGGAGGAGGCCGGCTGCGATCCACCGCCCTCGAGGCACAGACCCCCTCCTTGCCGGGAGTTGGGTGTGGGGGGCGCGTGTCCCACGTCCCTAGGCGGGTAGGCGGCGCGCCCGCTTGGATGGGACTTTGCCCCGGGACCCCCCAGAAAAACCCGGGCGCGTTGACTCTCCCCGGGCCTGGCTTGCAAAACTCTTCGGCGTTTTCCGGCCTGGGGGTGTGCCGGGCTGGCTAGTTTTTGTCGCGGATGGTGAGATCCTGGCCCGCGCGCATCTGGATCTCCCTGCACGGCAAGTTTCTCCGCTCTAAGGAGAGACCACGCGGGAGTCAAAGACGCCCCAAAAGGCGGCGAGCGGAGACACCGCCGGGAACAGGAAACAAGGAGACGCTTTCTCGGGTTCTCTGGGCCGGGCCAGCTGTGTCGCCGGCTCCTGAGGGATGATGTGGCCCCTGGCAGCTGGGGCAGCTGGGGGGAGGGGGACAGCAGGTGGGTAAGCCTGGGTGCTCTACCTCCCCCGGGCGCGCGTGCCTGGAAGCCACATTTGCATCTGCGGTTTGCAAGCTGCCCGGCTCTGCTTTCCAGCATGGGGAAAGCGTCGGGGACCTGGTGAGGCTCTGGGTTAAACCGTCTTTGCTGCAAGCTGCCGCCCGATTTTGGTTTGTTACAGTTAAAAGAAAAAAAAGGGAAAAACTCGAGGGAAATCATGCGCAACGTGAGCTAAGCTCAGACTCGCCCGTGGTCCCCTGTACACCACTTGGCATGGCCGTTGAACGTACAGCCCAGGAATATCTCTTATCTGACACCTAACCTCCTTCCCAAAGGGGGAAAAAAAAACAAACTCAAGAACACCAGCGCCAAGGAAAGCAATTTCTTGGGCTTTACTCTGTGGGTGCCTGCACAAGACAAAGGAACCCCCTTCCTGTTCTGTACCTGGGGTTTGACATTAACATCGGAACTCCCTAAGTAAAGGCCCCTAGCCTATTCTCATGGGCCCAGGTGGAAGTGCTAATCCAAACAAAAGCTATTAAGTCCGTTTGTATGTTAGTACTGCGGAGAATCGGCACTTGGTTCTGTCTCATTTCTCACTGGCCCAGACACGTCATTCTTCATCTCCGTGGTCCAGCCCCTGGGTTCAATAATTAAATTATGGGCTGTGTTTGGTGGATGCTGGGAGAGCAAAAGGAAGGGAATGTTTCATCGTTAACTATGGGGTATTTTTTTTTGACTGGGTGTTGGAAAGAGTTCCATGTATCAAGGTGATGCTTTTTGATGTCAAGTTCACTTCTTCTGGCTGCCTAGCTACCACCGAAATGTTTTTCTGTGCTGAGCCCCTGGTCTTCTCTCCCCCCCCCCAAAAAAACACTGTTTGGTGTGTAGACTTGGAGTCTTCTTCCATACATTTCTCTTCCTACCGACCTCCAGTCCATACATCACCTAAGGCGGCTGGTGCTTCACCCATGGTACCATTAAGCTGTTCTTCCCTCCTCGACTGAGGGAAGACTGTCATTCATAATTTAGCTCCTTCTCATCATTCTCCATTCTGGTCAAGGCACACTCCCCTCCGCCATAAATCCAGGCCCCTGTTTGCTATAAACACTTCCCCCGGAAGGTCCCTGCATTTCTCTGCCCATCCCTCATCTTCGAAGATGATATCATTCACAATTCAGACTCCCAGCTGGAGGTTCTCAGCTATTCTACAGCAGGAATGAGGCCCAGCACCCCAGGTAGGGTGGGACTGGGGGAATAGTCCTTGATGTATCTTGCTCATTAACGCCTTGTAACTCCCTCTCTGGGGGGAGGTGTTCAATCTCTCTGGGTGTTCCTCCCTTCCAGAGAGGCCTCTGAGCTTTCCCACCCACCTCCTCTGACATATAAACAGCCCAGCTCTGCAACTCATCTCAAAAAAAAAAAAAAAATCAAGGGGGCTGGAGCGATAGCACAGCGGGTAGGGCATTTGCCTTGCACGTGACCGACCCAAGTTCGATTCCCAGCATCCCATATGGTCCCCTGAGCACCGCCAGGAGTAATTCCTGAGTGCAGAGTCAGGAGTAACCCCTGTGTGTTGCCAGGTGAGACCCAAAAAGAAAAAAAAAAAAGACATCAAGCCTCCCTGTTGCCCCAGGTAGATCGATCTCAGGGCTGAAAACTCGAGACCTTCTTGAATCAGGTGAGGCAATTTGCCCTCCTTTCTAACTAGAAAGTTCTAGAAAGTTCCAGCTACCAGCCCACAGCTTCATGAGCACATGGTGCATACAAAGTCACGGGGTATATTTCACTCCTCCGTATTTCACAGTACTGACAACCCAGTAGGAGCACTGCAAATTTGATGGCAAAGTTATACCGAAGCCCATCAAGCTCACTGAGTGAAAACGATAAGACACAAAACTCAACCAGCACCAAACAAACAGCTCAGTAAGTCCTCAGGCACCCCAAGCACCCCAAGGCAGATTAATATATTCATAATCATGGTCACGGTCCTCCCGTTATTCATCAATTTGCTCGAGCGGGCCCAGTAACATCTCCATCGTGAGACTTATTACTGTATTTGGCATATTGAATATGTCACGGGTAGCTTGCCAGGCTTTTGCCGTGCAGGCGAAATACTCTCGGTAGCTTACTGGGCTCTTTGAGAGGGGCGGAGGAATCGAACCGGCTCAGCAGGACAGGCTGGCGCAAGGCGAACGCCCTACTGCGGTGCTGTCGCTCTAGCCCTCAGGCAATGGCTTTTCATTACACCATCGTAAGATAGAGCAGTGGTCACAAATGGACTTTTATTCATTATTTTCTGATCATCCCTGTGGTCATTTTGTGGTAATAAGCAATATGAAGTAAAATTGTGCCTGCTAAGGAGGCAGACTTGGGGGGCATCGGTGGGGAACTGGGGGGCTAGTGGGAAGTGAAGTCTCACTGTCGGTGGCATTGGTGCTGGAACATTCCATCCCTGAAACAAGTGCACGGACAAGCACCTTTGTAAATCATGATGTTGACGTTTTTTCAAGGTCTCTCGTTTTAATATCTGTGTCAGGGTCTAACTATGGATCTTTCTCCACCTGCCACAGACCCAGCAGTTCTCTTCCTCTCCCTTGTCAACTCTTTCAAGGCTATGGAGTCCTTGAGCCGGAAGCAGGGACTATGGCCGCTGTGTCCAAGGCCTGGGCTTGACTCGTCCAGGTGTGGGTGCTCCCGCCCTGCTCGGTGAAGGCTGATCTCTGAGCTCGAGCATCCCCTGGAGTATATTTCCACGCGAGGATGGTGACAGTCCAGATTACAAAGACAGAAGTTCAGATTCTCCCAGGACTGACTCAGAACAGCTTTGCAGGCACCAGCTCTGCCAGGTCACGGCTTAACCCCGAAGGCCTGTCCGGCTGGGAACAGGAGTGTCATACAGCCAGAATGCAGAGGCAGGGACCCCGGGAAGTCTGGCTGTGGCATTAGTCCTGCAGGAAAGAGCTCATCACGGCCTAAAGTCACATAGACCTTGGACTGTGGGGACCTCTCTCTCCTCCTTGTCACTCACTCTCCCAGGCCCCTCCCTGCACCTTTGTCTTTGTTTCCTGGGCTGTGAAATCAGCAATGATTTGGGGTGTGGGTTTTTGTTTTCAGGGTGGGGGAACCTCCTGAGCAGTGCTCAGGTTCCTTGACTAAACCGCACCCAGTCAGGCCGGTGCTTCAGTGCTGGAGGATGCGGAGTCACCAGAACCCGCCTCTCTGGGGAGACAAAAAAAAAAGGGCAAGATTCCAAAACAGAATTTGTGTTGTAATAAAGCCCTCTCGTGACCTTTATTGTTCCATATCCTTGAAATGACACTGAAGATGGATGAGGAGACAGTGAGTTGGGGTGGTCTGGTGGATTTAGCGGGAGGCACGACGTGGGTCAGAGCAGTACCCGTGGAGTGGCTGCATACGTGAAAGCAGAGAAGAGGAAAAGGAATTCTTGCACGCCTATTGTTTTCCTTTATAGCATGCAGTTTCTAGGGAAATCATCGAAAAACTCTACCTGCATCTGTTTCCTTCCTTCCTATCTTTCTTCTTTTCTTCCTTCCTGTATTACTTCCTTGTTGTCTTCCTTCCTTCCAGTCTTCTTTCCTGTCTTCCTTTCTTCCTTCCTGTCTTTCTTACTGTCTTCCTTCATTCCTTCCTTCCCATCATCCTTCTTTCCTGTCTTCCTTCTTATCTTCCTTCCTGTATTCCTTCCTTGCTGTCTTTCTTCCTACTATCTTCCTTCCTATCTTCCTGTCTTCCTTCCTTCCCTCCTCTCTTTCTTCCTTCCCTCCCTTCCTTTCTTCCTTCCCTCCTCTCTTCCTTCCTTTCTTTCTTCCCTCCTTCCTTCCATTTTTATGCCACACCTGGCAGTGTTCAGCTATGACTCCCAGCTCTGTGCTCAGGGATCACTCCTGGTGGTGCTTGAGGGCATGTGCATGGTGCCAGGGATAAACCCAAGGTCACCACCTGCAAGGCAAGCACCTGAACCCTGTACTACCTCCAGCCTCTTCTTTCCTGTTCAAGGAACCTATACA